CTCCTTTGTGGATCTGCTTGGTCAGCTCGCCCGCTGCGCCGAGGCCCGTGGTGTGTACCAGCCGGGGCTGGATGAGGCCTTTGTTCCTCGGTGGAAGGGTCGCTTTGCGGCGCTGGTCCATCAGATGAACGCTGACCACATCCAGCGCCACTTTGGCGGTGTCTGCCTGCGCTCGTCGTAGGTAGGCACCGTCTCGGGGGTCCCTCTGTGGGGATCCCTGTGTGCACCTGTTGCTCCCTAGGTGGTTCTCGTTGTGATCTTTTGATGGCTTGACTTGTATTTTTGTTTTAATTTTACTTTGATTTTGACTGTATTTGTGTGGTATTTTTGCTGAATTTTTGTAAAGTCCTTTGTATGATGACTTTTCTTTCTGTGGTCGGTTGCCTTTTCAACCCGACGCTGTCTCTTGTTGTATGTGAGCGTGCCGTGGTGTTTTTTATGTTTGTGCTGTGATGGCTTGTAGTTGTGATGTGTGACTGCCTTTTTATGTGTCTAGTGGTTCAAATGGCCGTATCTCTGGTTATACTTAGTCGTTTTTCATGATTTTTGTTTCCTTGTGCGTGATTCTTCGCGCTTGTACTTTTCAGCATGATAGAAGCCGATGAAAATGTCTTGTTCTCTTGTGTTGTTTTGCGTGCCGTCGTGATTTTGATGTCGGGGTTGCACAGCTTTGCTTTCAGCTCTGAGGTTCAAACACCTAATTTATTATTGGCGTTGTAGCCAGACTTTTCCACCCAGACATGGGAGAGGGTGGCGTACCTGAGCAGGCGGCCCATCTCGTCGCGAAGGGCGTTGTGACGCTTGATGGGACGGCAGGTCAGCAGGTGCTCGCGGGTCAGCCGCGGCTGAGGTGTCTTGCTGCTGCAGAGCGGGCACTTGTCCGTCGGCTTGACGTTGATGAGTTCATGGAGGCCAAAACCCATCATGGACACGACCGCAATGGCAAAGGTCGTGTCGCTCAATCGACGCAACTTGTCCCGACCCCGCATGGTCAAGACTGTGCTGACGCCCCACTCGCGTGAGGCCAGATATGCCTGCTGCAGGTCCAGCGCGCACTTGGCCATCAGGTCGTCAAGTGCCGCCTTGGAGCGGAGGGCAATGATCTCAGCTGGTCGCTGGGTCGCCGCGTCCTTGACCGTGGCCATCTGGAAGCCAGCTCGCTGCACGTGGACCTCAAAGTCGTCAGCCCTCGATGCATCCTCCAAAAGTCGGTCGTAGACCCGAGGGTAGCGAGTGGCCAGCTTGGCCATGTTGCAGACATAAGCCACCGGACCGCGCTCAACCAGGTCGTGCAGGCCAAAGCCCCCGGTGTTGGCCCGCGTGAAGAGGCGAGCCTCAAGGAGCTGTTCCAGCGTAACGTCATGACCTTCAGCTCCAGCTGGTGCAGACAGGTTTACCTTGGCAAAAAAGGCTTTGACAAAGGTGTCCTTGCAAGCACGGTTCAAGAGCTCGGACAAGCCCGACGTGAGACTTGGGGGCAGCGTGTAGAGGTGGTTGATGAGGCTAGGCACGTACTGCATGGCCGTGAGGAGGGCCTGAAGCGAGACACCGGTCGTCAGCATGTCATTGAGCTTGCCAGCAATGTGCTTTGCCTTGTCGTTCAGCTGCTTCTTCATCCACTCGCGACGGCCAATCGGCGTTCCCAAGACCGTCATGCCCGTGTTGGCCGTCTCGCGCACGGCATCTGGCAAGACAGACTTGATAGCAGCGATGGAAGCGGGATGGTGGCGAGGCATGTAGAAGCGGCTCTTACTGGGCTGCAAATGAAGGCCAGCAGACTCTGCACGAGCCTTGATAATCTCGACGTCGGCCGCCACGTCCTCCGCGGGACCCATCAGTACAATGTCGTCGAGGTATTTGATGACCTTGCAGCGGTAGTCAGTGGTAGCGTCGAGGAGACCCAGGACCTCACAGGA